AACAAAACAGACATCCACGAAAACGTCCGCAAGGACATCAACAGAAGACAAACCGTCCATTCAAACAAAAGTACCAACTACCGGAGCGGAACGCCCTAAATGCCAGACAGAAGAAAAAAAGTGTATAGTAGTTATGACCACTACTACCACAACGACAGCAACACGGCAAGGATGCCAACTCACAACCATCATCTTTACCTGAAGCGTCTTCTTGAATATCACAACACCGAGCACGATTACAAGGTCTTACAAGGAAAGCAGAGGATGAAGGAAGAGAATGAGATGCTACAGAACGAAATGACAAGGTTGAGGGAGGTGAGGAAAAATCACAGATTGGAAGATTACGGGGCGAACGTCCAGAATATGAAACAGAGAATTGATGAATACAAACAGTGGTTGAGAGGCGATACACAAGATTAATATAAAAATCTCAACTATTAATTTATAGCAATGACAGCAGAAGTAATCAACGCAAAACAGGGATTGACACGAATACCACGCAGAACTCATCAAGGAAATAGACAGGGAAAAGTTCAAAACCAATGACATCAGAAAAATCTTTGATAGGAACGCTTGGTATTTTCACGAAAGTCCGCAGGGTCAAGCACTGAACACAAACAACATCCACCCAGCAGACTTACAACAAATGTTTTTGGGCTCTGGTTGCCTGTTGGAGTTTTTGGGATTGGGGTTGGACTTCAACCTAAAAACCTTCTCAATAAAAATGTTTGTTATTGAGAAAAATTTGGATTTCAACACTGGCATCTGTTTCTCATACAAACGTTGGTTTGACGGTGTTTGGATAAATTGGATTTGGACGAAATGGTGCGTCCGCAATCTGGACAGGTGAAAGGGGTTGATAATTTCTTTTGATAGTATTTTGAGAAGTATTTGGGTTTGTCTGAAAATAGTGTACCCCTACACCCAATGGTTAATGATCATTATCCCTACTAAATGGCTATAATTGGGGGTATACCCCATTTTCAGACATACCCATTTTGGGTCGTTGGGTTGCTTGTCATAAGTTCCATCGGGTTTCCGACGACTTGATAAAGTCGTTGGGAGTGGTTCTACCACGTCCCATCGTGTGGATGTTGCTGTTGGTGGATTGTGGAGGTTGCTGGATTGGTGTAGTGCTTCCGCCATTTCATCAAACAGGTCTTCGTCCATTTCTTGCTTCATACCGTTTATATACATATAGCAGGGCATATTCAATTCTTAATTATATACGGCGTCTTGTCTTTAAGTATTTTTGGGGTCTTGTGTTGAAAATTTGTGGATTGATGTTGAAAGGTTGAGGGTGAAACGATTTGTCTTCTTTAATGCTGTAATTTTCCAAAGTTGAATGTGAAACGATTTGTCTTCTTTAATGCTGTCGTCTTCCAAAGTTGAGGGTGAAACGATATGTCCGTCTTTTCTGCCAATGACGGTTGGTAGATTTTATGCCAACTTGAGCCGACTAGTTGTCATTACGCGTTCGTCGTCGTTGTCGCCCGTCCTAACACAAACAACATCAACCGAAAAAAACAAAAAATATATCTGGAAACCCTTTTTTAATATGTCGTCCGCATCCATCCATCGGCGTCATCTTAATTACACAAAGTCGTCGTCCATCACCATCAAAAATACATATCATATAATATACACATAGGCTTGTTGTGGGCGCGCAAAAATGCGTGATTTAGAGCTCACATGCAGGCCTTCTCATATTTAAAAAAAGTGTTAGACATATCCTCATAAAATGTTGAATTTGCCGTGGATTAATCCAGATTAATCCAAGAACCAAAAAAAAAAACACCAATGTTTTGGGGACTACTTGGAAATAGCCATGATCAGACTAGTCTGGAAAACATTGTTTTTTTTTGTTTTTTTGTTTTTTTTTGGTTCTTGGATTAATCTGGATTAATCTAGATTAATCTGGATTCATCTAGATTAATCTAGACTAATCTTAGGCAATCCAGTCTGCAATGGATCTGCTGAAATTTGTTATGTCCTTCTAGCACTGTCTGCATGTGAAATCTATCTGTAAGTCTTGGCTCTAACAATATTTATTTTGCTATCCTTCTGCGCCATGTCGTCTGTATATGAACCAATAACTTTTGACTCATACCTTTCTGTTTCTTCATCCCAAGTCTTCACTTCATCAATCAGGACATTAATTTTACCACCGTATTTTTCTCTATAATATAGTGCATCTTCCATCTTGTTGAATGTCATTGACTTGCTTTTTATGTTGGTTCCTTTTTCCAGTAATCCAAAGTTGATACTGGCAATCATTCTTTTAACAGCCTTGTCCAGCTTATCATCACTGCTGATGTCAGTTTCCCACAGTTTCTTAACTAATTTCTTGTAATCAACTTTATTTATGTGTGTGATGGAACTTTATATGCTAGAATCTCAACATCATTAACATGTTTTTTCAAAAACACACCGTAAACTAAACCAAATTGTTTATTCAACATCAAGTTAAAATATGTACATCTTACAAAGTATAAAGTCAATGTTCACAAAAGCTGATGTGAAAGCTTTATTAACATCAATTTCCACAAGCTGGTTTTTAAATGGTTTCTCGTTATCATATCTCCAAAAAACACCATTTGGGACTATGGTCCTGTAATCTCTTAATATCTGCATATCTTGTTTATCATAAAAGGACTTATGAGATGGTGAAAAAAGACTCTTATTAAATTCAAACAATGATGCTACTGTCCACCAATGATGCTACTGTCCACTGCATCCGCTACACAACTCTGACTTCTGACATTGAACACTACTGAGTTAAATTTCATTTTTAAGTTTTCTATCTGTCCCGCCTTCCAAGTTATAAAAGGTGTATACCCTACCCTTTTCAAATCACAAAATATCTGCATTAAATTATTTTCAGAATGTATCAGGTTGAATTCTAATTCCTCATCTTTATTTTTCTGACACTCCCTTAGTATAGGTAAAATGTCATCAATGGTATTAAAGACTTTATACTCAACTGGTTTTTCATTCCTATTGAATATAAAATTACTTGATGCATTACAGCTAAAATTCATTTGAATATTTTTTACGGGCTAGACTCACAATATTAGAATTTAAAGTGTAGATATGGTTATCTTTAACCAATCCAAAAAATGCTGGAATGCTTTTTATTTTTAATCTCAGGGTCATATGAATAAAACTTGTATCCCCAACAGTTGTATTTTCTGACTGGGAACTTGAAGTATTCAAAAACGGGTTTCATCTCCTCAACTGATGCCCCATTTTCTTTAAAGTCTTCATATGTTTTACCTATCAGTTCTAAGACCCTTTCTCTTGTTAACCTTTTGCTTTTCCACTTGTTAGGACTCATCAACGTATTTTTGTAATGGTCATTGAGTGAGTTAATCCAACATTCATCCTCAAAAATACCCTCATCACGTATTGCATCATAAAAACTATCATAACTTTCCTCTAACTCTGTGTTAATGTATGAGTGATACATACTTATCTGCTTTCCATCTCTCAGCATCTCTTCTGCTTCACTCTTTCTCTTCTTGCTTCTGCTTGTGATTTCTGAGATGTCTTTTATCTTGATACCATCTGCATATGATTCAAGATTATGAAATTGTTGTCTGAAAATTCTATCAGCTTTTAACAGTCTTTTAAGTGTAGACTCAAACAACTCTGTGTTGTGGATGACTCAAACAAATCTTTTTCTAGGTGGTCCTTCTAATAAGTTCTCTTGCTTGAAGTTTTCAACAGTAGCTCTTGCATCATATTCTCTGTTTGATATCTCCTTCTGTTGAAGCTTTGCTTTCAGAAACTTCATGAACTTTTCATACTCATCTCTGACTACATACTTGTTAATGATATTTCTAGGTATCGAATCCTTCTCACTGATTTTTAATATTACCTGTCTTTCATCTATAATCATTCTATATTTGATTCCATAGTTATCAACAAATGCATCACCACCAGTGCCTGTATCAGTCTTGCTGTATACTCTAAAAGTGATTGCATATTCTTTCTTGGGATTGGCTCTCATTCTTTCAGCCAGTTCTTCATTAGTTCTCCATTGTGAAGCCTTCTTTTCAAATCTCCTGATAGCACCATTTACTGTTCTAGAGTTTTCACTTTTCAAGTTCTTTATCAATTTTTCTGCAGTGCTATAGTTAGCAATCTTCCTGTCAGAATAAAGGTCTATAACTTCTTGGATTATATCCCTTACTCTTTCACTTGCACCACTCCTTAAGCCTCTTAAATACTGGGTTCTATCTTGGACAATTTTTGATGGCATTATAATATCACATAGGCTTGTTGTGGGCACATCTGCTGCCATGAACTTTCCACAAATCCTCAAAATCCCGCGCCCACAACAAACCCATCCCATAATATAAAACCAAAAAAAAAACAGTCCAGTCCATCCATCCCGATGCTCCAGACCGTTGCGGTAAATTGGAAACCTGACATCCTGAAAGGGTATGTATGGAAGTATGTGTGTGATGTATGTGTGTATGTATGTATATATATGTATGGATGTATATAAGGATAAATTGATGTAAAGGTGTATGTGTGTATGGATGTATGGATACGCTTTGGTTTTGAAGACTGTTTGGCAGTGTCTCACTCTCCACGTTCTGGTTGAATTTATGACCGCAAGTTATGCTTTGAAGACTGCTACTTTTCAATCTTGAACCCTTCTCCATTTCTGCCTTCAAATCCCCGACCGACCCTTATTGAAGTCATCCTCCGTGATGACATACTGACCTCAATTCGGGCGGAATGATCATCCCCAGAAATGAAGCGTGAAAGCATCAGAAGGACAGCGGTGAAAGGGTGAAAGGGGAAGGGGTGAAGGGGTGAAAGGAACATCAAAAATGATGAAAACTGCTTCAAAAATGCTGTCTCTTCACCTACCCAGTGAAAGGTGCTTTCACCCCCTTGGTGACAGGTGGTTTCACCCCTTTGTCACTTGTTGTCAGGAAATGGCAAAGTATTTGCACACAAGTAAAACTGCTCATGTGTGATCCTGATTTATCATCGCTGCGATTGGTCTGTCCATGTCATTCACCCTTGCTCCGAGCTCCTCCCTTCTCTGTGGAAGTGGGTCAGCACCAGCACCAGTGTTTGGAGTGGCAATGTGACACGTGATTCACGACTGGGCTCTTTTCAAGGCTTCCTCGAGGTTCTTTTGCAGCCGCAAGTTTTCCTCTCGCAGCTTCTGGTTTTCCTCCTCTACCTTCTCTGCCTTCTGCTCTGCCTTGTCTCTTTCTTGAATCAGAGAGTCCATCGAAATGTGCATGATTCCAAATCTGCCCCGTTCAGCCGCGTCAGCTAAAGGAGGATATCGATGCAGAATTTTCTTTGGTTGGACAATAGGTTTTCTTCGGTTTGTAACTACTATGTAAAATATGTTAAGCAGCTCACTCTCTTCAATCTGTGGGTCATCTTGCCATCGTGCGCCGCTGGAGAGCATCATGGCGATTTTCCCAAGTTGAAAAATCTTCAGCGCCAATGGCTTTGCGTTCAGCGATATTTCGACCACACAGAAGGGACTGCTTGCTGCTTGCTGGCTTCACTACCCAGGTGCTTGAGCGCAACTGCTCAAGGGCAATCTCTCCCACTCCGTCTACTTGCGCAGAAATTTGACTGAGTGAGCTCTTTGGCAATGTCCGACTACATTGAACTGCTGCAAGATCGCGTTGAAGTCTCTTGTGAGCTCTTTCAAGCCGCGCTTTGTAGCCCTCGTCCATGTTGCTACACTTGAACTCCTTCTCTTGTAGTGAAAACATGCGCCGCATTGCTATCTCAAATTCCTGTCCGTCTTGCTCTCCTTCCGTTCCGCTGCTGAAGGGCACATTGCCTGCGTTGCCTGGAAGCCCCAATTCATCTGGAGCACCCCAAGCCTTCCACGCACCATCCTCATCGTCATCCGAAGGAAACACTGTTTCAAGTGCTTGCCTTTTGCTGTATCTTCCGGTCATTCCGTTGGTCCTTCTGACGCTCTCCTGGTGTCCCAGCACGTTGTGGGCATAGGGCGATTACGGGCGCAACGATTTGACCCATGGCTGTGACTTCCTGGGTCCGTAAGGTGTGAATTCTTCCAAGAAATTCGTTGAGAACCTGTCATAGTCTTGATAGAAATGAGAGCGCGAATGACTGTTTTCATATGGCAAGTCGATCTTCATCTCATCTATCGTCGTGTGCTGATACACTACGTGCCCTTTTGAATGCAATTGCTGCCACCGGACAAAAGTTCACAAATCTTGTGCACTATGCAATGCTGGACGAAGTTTCTGCAGGTGCAATCTGCTGCGTTTCTGGGCATCCGCACATCAGTAAAATGAAGTTCGCGTAGACGAAGCAGAGAGCAAAGCGGACGGAACAAGACATCAATCCCAACTGCCAACAGCAACAACCTCAACGAAACATTTAGCAAAATTATCAAAAAAAACAGTCAAACATTTAGATTTACAACATTGAACAAAAACATAACAGCCTCCCACCTGAACCTTGAACCCTCACTCCCCAGTTTCCCTGTTTTACCATTTGTTTCCCATGTTTGTGAGCATGTTTGACATCTCAACATTCTATTTTCTTTTATAAACTATACTGGTTGGTGGTTTGAACCCCTTTGAAAAATATGAGTTCGTCAGTTGGGATGATGACATTCCCAATATATGGAAAGTCATAAAAGTCATGTTCCAAACCACCAACCAGTCATGATATATCTATCAACTATCCCTGTGGAAAATACCCATTGCTGTGGGTAGGTTTTTCTAGCTTTCCCGGTTTCAGGATTCCAGTTGAATTTCTCCAACAGAAAGCGGTTGTTGCTTGATAGTATACCCTCTGGTAAACTAACATAGCTATTGAACATGGCCATTTATATTGGAATTTCCCATTAAAAATGGTGATTTTCCATGGCTATGTTAGTTTACCAGAGGGTAACTCAACCAACGGTATATTAGTCGCATCAGATCTGCCGCAAAAAACATCCCGCGCGACAGACATCGACCAGACCTTGAGGCGACAGCTTCAGAGTTTCCACCACCGGGTTGTCCTCGTCTGACTTTGAATGATGATTAGTAACTAATGTCAAATTAGTACCCATAGGATCCATGTATGGTATATATGGTAACATTTACCATCAATATACCCCCAATGTTAGTACATATACCATACATAAATCCTATGGGGTATAAATGAGTGAACTTTGTTGAACTAACTTGAACTTCGACAACCAATAGAAAAGTACTATATTTTTTCAAGTTAGTCACAGGTCATTGCCACTACAATCCAGCCAGAAACATGGATAAAGAAATGATAAACATGCTGGTTGGCGATGGAGATATTGCCGTCCCTATGAGTTGATCAAGTTGTGCCTATGACATCCAGGACATAAGGTCTGAAAAGCGGTCGGTGGTGCTGCAAGGTGCCCATCTTGAAAAATGATGGAGTTCATCAATGGGAAGGATGACATCCCAACTATTGAGGAAAATGAACAATCCATGTTCCAAACCACCAACCAGTCATACATCATATACTAGTACAACAGAAAAACACAGACAGGAAACACATACAGAAAAAGCTGCTCTGCTCAAAGTTTTCTGAAGCTGGATTCCTCCTCATCTCCGGAGAAGTACCACGACATGCCTTGATACCTAAGCTTCCGAGGAGGCCGATGCTTGGGCCCATAACTGGGCCGTTGATGCCCAATTCAAAACAACAATGTGTATTTATCCAGCCAAAAAGATAGAAAAGTCAATTCCAGCTAAACTAGTGATAAATATTGATAAATGACTTTCCTAGTCTTTCCATGTCTTTCCTATTAATACTTTTCTATTTCCGTTCCGTTGCCAAAAAAGGTGAATCCCTGCGCATCATTCCATTGTGCGTCTGGTTTCTGGGAGATATTAGTTGAGTGGGCAAGACATGCTGAAAAAATTGTTGGCTTTATTGCTTCCCCCCTAATTTTCATGACAATTTTGAGGTGCCAAACCTGTAATTACTGTAAATTCTGCTTTCAATTCATTGAAACCCTTGAACCAATGTATTGATTGAAGGCACCATCTGAAGGAAACCATGATTTTACTTGTAAAATACCGGTCAATATTGGGGTGTCCTGTGAACTTATCAGTCTGATCATCCCGGGATTCCAAGAATTCTGCCATGTCACTGCAGGCAGTAATCCTCCACACTGCCACAGCCTTGAACTGCCTGGTGAGCGACCAATCTACACAGTGAAGTGACAAGCTTGGCCATGGCTCGTTTGGATATCTTTGAATCTTTGGATGTAATATTGACAGTCTACATTCAATGCTGGTCCCCCAATCTATGAAAAAAAACACTAAATGCTAAGCTTGGTATAGTTTGGTGTCATACATGGTCGCCAATCTTAGCCCCGCAAAATGAACAGCTAGCAGCTAGACTCTTTGAGTTTCAAGTTGTTGGGTCTCTTTAGAGACTCCAGCAAATTTATAGAAACTTTAAATCCCAAGTTACTCAAGTTCTATTTGCCTGGGGATAGCAGCTGTGCATATCTGATAGTTCTGCTCGTTACTTCCAGGTGCTGCAACACGCCAATCACACCATACCTCGAAGGTTGAATCTTGGCATTGGGCACCAGCAATGCAGGTGCCATCTGTCGCCTCGGATATCTTCGCCTTTTTCTATGGGGGAGGAACGTTGCTTTCAGGGGCCATGGCTAAGCGCTAATTATTCAAGTTCAAGACTTGGGTGCCAACAAAAACGCGACACGTTCTTCATCATCAGCATCAATTTAAGTATCAATTTCAAGCGACGAACTGGCTGATGAGTCATTGTAGAATAAAGAGCGGTCGTTTACATGATACCCGGCCTGGTAAATGTTGACATAGCTATTGAACATGGCCCATTTTCAAATAGTGGATTTACCCATTAAACATGGTGATGTTCCATTTTTTTTAGTATGTTTACCAGAGGGTACATGGAGTATCTAAATAAGTCATACTCGCCTATATCGCTGATTGTACAAACAGCTGACCCATTGACATGAGCCATGCTGGGCAGCAGTGAACCGAGAGCAGAATCTGATCAGAACCCATCTGTGCATCGAGAGTCTGAGCCGAAGATTTTTCAAAAGAAACGACCGCTTTGCTGGCCAAGTTTTAAGGATGTATCAAACAATTTTGGTGCCTTATTCAAACCAAACATATGACAATTCTCCTGATTGAAATCAAACAACAATTAGGATAGCGCTAATCATTAAGACCAAGCGATAGGGCTCCTTTTTTCGACGCACCCTAGAAGAGCCAAACATAGCCAGGCGCCTAGAGAAAAAAAAAACACCTCTAATAAGCTGCTAAAAGAACAAAAAGAAATATCACATACATGGTGACTTCAAAAAAAGGCTTTGATGCATGTGGCACATTTTGGATATTTTGGCACACCTGTTTGTAAGCTAATACAAACTCCATGAAGCCGCTCCAGTATATAAAACTCCACAGAAATAGAAATTCAGTGAGTCACTGTTCAGTTCTGCCGTGTTTCATCTGGGAATCGCCATCTTTGCCCCAAAAATATCCATCCCTTTCTAGTAGGATCAAACGCAGCAAGTAGCATCATGCAGATTGATGTCCATGTCATCATTGGCTTCCATCCTCAGCTCTACACCTGCGGAGCATCTGCAAGGCGTGGGAGTCTAAAAATTAAATGTAGAACACCGTATACCCTCTGGTGAACTAACATAGCAATGGAAAATCACCATGCTATTAATGGGAAAATCCACTATCAATGGCCATTTTCAATAGCAAACTGTTAGTTCACCAGAGGGTACCCCAAAAATAATGCAATTCTTAGAGGAAAAATCTGAGAAAAGGAAAATCATCATTGGGCACGGCATGTCAACACCATCAGAAGGGATTCGGGAAAGCGGCTCCCAAACTTACCCAACACCAAGAGGCTCAAGATGGCTCAAACACCAGCAAAGCATTGGGTAAAGTTCGACGCAGGATTCCAGGAAGCATACAACATATATTGAATATATATATATATGTACCCTAAAATCATACTCATATGTAATACTGTAATATAGACATATATGTATATACATTATTTCTTCAGAAAGATATTCAAGGACAAGGAAATGGTACTTCAGGGACGTTAGCGTACCAAGCGCTTCCGTGCCTTTGGTGCCAACTGGTAGGGAAATCCTTGGTCTTTCGGCATCAAGAATCTTTCCAATGTCAGGAAACTCCAGGTGTTCAAGTGGATTGGTTTTCAACTGTGGTTCCAACATGTTCCAGGATAACTGCTTGATGGTGCAATAACCATCTTGAAACATGATGGAGTTCGTCAATGGGAAGGATTATTCCATCCCATATATGAAATGGAAAATCAACAATTCATGTTTGAAACCACCAACCAGTGATTATTAACCAATATTAACCATTATTAACCATCATTAACTATCATTATCCCATACTAAACCAATGTTCCAAATGTTCCAAACCACCAACCAGACAATCAATGATCATCAGGACTGAGAAACGTCGCTATCCAGTGCACAGGATCCAACGTTCTGTGGAGTCGAACCAGGTGGTCTGTCAGGTCCATCTTCCCAGTGGCACTAACGGATACCTTGGGGCCTATTCCGAAGCCTGGAGTCATCAAAAAATGGCCAAAATCATCAGCACGTATCAAATACTTAATATATCTTAATATTATATAATAATTAATAGATATTAATAGAATTTAATTGATTGCTTTTTGGAATTCTTGGATCAACTTGGATATGCCGGCCTGAAATCTAGTCTCTCGAGTGTGACTTAGTCAAGCAGCACATTCTGCATCTTCCCTTTCCTGAGCGTTACCTCACCAGGCACACAAGTGGAGCCGAGTTTGCATCGGAACGTGGTTCTGATATACCCGCTCATGGTCCAGCCAAATGATTCACGCCGATTCATTCCCTTTTGTTTCCGAACAATCACCCAAACCACCGAAAAACACTGATGTGAGTGACGTTAAAAAAAGTTGACGTGTGAAAGTGATACAACATGACACAACGATTCTCCCGGTGCAAACAACAAAACTTTCAACCCACATGAGTTGGATT